CTGCAATGTTTGGGATTCGTATTAGGCAAACATATTTGTGAGCTGATTTATTTTTCAAAAACATTCTTGCAGCTATTTATATATAAATGCAAAGTATCTTGGGATGTGCGAATATGATGGCTCAGTTTTTGAATGTTGATGCTTAACAATACTCAAGATCAATGTGTGTCTTGTGCATATCTCCTATTTATAAATGATGATAAGTGACGTTTAAACTTGTATATCAATTAATCGATATTACAAATTATGTTATTGTACAAACATGCATGTGTTTTATACCAAATTCTTTCACTTTTAGATAAAAAAGACATGTATTTATATTTAAAAATCCATCTGTTGACAGATTATATTGTATAATTTGTAATATTTAAATTGACAATAACAATGTTGATCAATCCAGAGTCAATAAAAAATATGAATGTTTTTTAAACATACTTTTACTTGTTTTTAACAAATTAACTAATTTGCATAGTATGTTTTATTTTTTATTGTAACTAATGTTAAAATAGTAGTTACAAATTAATTATATAAACTAATCCATATAAAATTTATATATTCATTTATTTAACTGTTTAGGTTTTTTAATATTTGGAGTCATATAACATATTCTATTAATAAGACTTGTATATGCATAAATTAGTATAAAATAAAACTTCATATTCGTATAATTAACTATTTATTTATTTTTAACATAAAATATGCTAGATTTATTCAGAAATTAACATAAATGTTATTTTATTTCCATGCATAAGTTTATTCAACAGAAACAATCTAACATTATTACAGAAATCCATACATCAATATTAAAAATAGTATTGTATATTATCAATCGACTTAATGCTTGGTTAGGTTAATCAGCTGTTTTAAATATAATATTCACAAACCTACCTATCTAGAAAATGGTTTAAAGAATATATACTTTAAAAAAATGTTTGACTAATTTTTTTGCACATCTTTAAGACTCAAACGCAAGTCATAAATCTAAAAAAAAGTTCCCTTAACATTCCTCCTCACAGCTACAACATGTTTGGCCATTTCAAGTTCTGCATCACATTACTGGGAGGGTATGTTCTCTTCCAGGACCCCCTGTCTTTAAATCAGGGTCTGGGCATTCTCTGCACCCTCACTGGTATCCTGGCATACACTCACTTCAAGCTGGCAGAACAGGAGGAGGGCAAAAGCAGACTCACGCAGAGGCCGTAGATCCACTGATGTGTCAATCAATGACAACACAGAGTTCAGTGCCTGATGACGTGTTCAGGAGAAGATACCGTGAAGATTAACCAAACATGCACTACTGGTAATCAGAAGTTTGGGATTTTCTGCTTTTGTTTTTAAAAGAAGCTTATTCTGCTCAATAAGGTTGCATTTATTTGATTTAAAATACAGTTAATGCTGTAAAATTGTGAAATATTATAACTTTAAAGGGTTTTCTTGTTGAATGTCTTCAGTGTCGCATGATAATTTGCTGTCCTGTTATCATCGGTTATTATTGGTGCTCAGTTACTATTAATGATTGTTATGATTATCTTTTCATGGTTCATAGTTTTGTGGAAACTAATACATTTTTACTTTTTAGGATTCTTTGATAAAAAAAGTCTATTATTTACATTAAAATATTTACTTTCACTAATTAACAATTTATGCGAGGAACAAAAGTAAATACTTATTAAGGGTATTGTATCATTTTCCACAATAGTATGAAGCAGCATTACGGTTTTCAACACTTAAAATAACAACAATAAACATTTCTTAAACTCCACTTATTTGAAAATATGCAAATTTTACACTTCCCCTAGAGTTAAACGGGCCTATAGACCACTTTGTGGAATGTAAACAATAACATAAAATACATTTTTAATTTCCATAGCTTCCAATAATGCAAAATTCATTCATTTTCTTTTGGTTTTAGTACACAAAATTACTACAAAAATGTTAAGCTTTAAATAGGAAAATTTGCAAAACCTTTTAGTCATTTTTTTGCGTGAGATGCTAATGGTCTATTCCGAATTGATGATCTATGTTAAACTAAGCTAAAAGTTCTCCCCGGAGATAGAAGATGTAGATTCAAAAATGTTAAAACTCCACTGTTTAACTCAAGGGATCTTGTAAAATGAAAATATTATCAGAAAAAAAGAAGAGTGTTCTTTAAAGCACCAGATCATTAAGATTTCTGAAGGATCATCTGACACAAAGCACTGTATTAATGATGCTGAAAATTTAGCTTTAAATGACAGAAATATTTTTTAAAATAATTTTAAACCACATTCAATAAAATGATAAAAGAGTTTTAAATTAAGTAAGTAAATGCAGCCTTGGTGAGCAGAATAGACTTCTTTTAAAACATTTAAAACCTTATCGATCCCAAATCCTTTTAATGGTAGTGTAGACTGTAAGGAAGTTGAAGCCAGAGGCTGAGGACTGTCAATAGCATTTCAATCTTTGTAAGATATTACTTTTTAATCCAAGTGTTCAATATTTGCAAATAAAAATGCAAAATAAAATGCATTTTCTTTTGTAAATGTTATTTAATGATGTATTTTTCTGTCTATAATCTATTGTCTGTACAACAATAAAACATTTTATAAGAACCAACAGTACTCTTTAAGTATTTTTTTTTTCCAAGACTTGAATTTGATCTCATATTGAGTCTAGTCAGGACTTTTAGGACAAGGGTCGCTGCCTACTTGGCAAAAATGTTTCAGTCTTTACTATCTGTGAAATGGAATGTCAATCTTTTGTTCAGTTAATGAATCTCTCTCTCTCTCTTTCTCTCTCTCTTTGGCAATGCACATTTTAAGCATCACTCGCATTCCAAAGTCCTGTCTTCAGTCCAAAGCCTACATATTCACCATCCTTTTGCGTGGATCTTGGACTTTTCAAGGGGTTTCTCAAGGATGTGATAACTAAAAACTATGACCTTAAAAGGATGTTTCATCAAGAAATTACATATTCTGTGAAACTTGAAGAACACATCTTCTCAGACAATAAGAGATTAAATACAGTTCTAAAAAAATTCTAAATATTAAAGTATAATAATGTCTACACTAGCACTAAACAATATATATATATATATATATATATATATATATATATATATATATATATATATATATATATATATATATATATATATATATATATATATTTAAAACAAAACATGCGTGTTGATAGAACTTTTATTTTTATGCTATTGAATCTTTTGTGCTCACCAACGTTATTTAATCAATAATAAGAACAGAAATATTGTGAAATATTGCACTTTATAATAATCTTTCTACTTTCAAAACGCATTCATGCCTGTTTAGCTGTCATTTCTGCAGTCTTCAATGTGAAATAATCCTTCTGAGTCATGCTTATTTAGCAAATAATTTAGCAATTTTGAAACAATTTAGCAATTTTTAAAACCCTTTAAAGTCTTAGGACAATTTTGAAAAACTTGTTTGATCCACTTTAAAAGTTGACTGTTTGTATAAATGTTTTTAGCAATAATGCAATTAAAAAAACTAAACTTTTACTTATAAATGAATGAAACAATGTTATTATTTGTTTATATCTTTATAAATTTCATTTGTGTTCTTGTTTCATTGGATACAATGTCCAAATTCTGATAGTAACTTTAATTTCTGTCTTCATCCTTACTTACTTACTTACTTACATTATTAAACTAATTCCTTTTCTTATTACTCCAGTGGTCCATTAAATTTTCTCATTAATACAGACATACAAGCCCAAACATGTTGAGCGTAGAGGAACATGTTGTACTAAAGTCATCTATGAGTCACTCTCACTCTACCCTGGCCCTAAAGACCTGATCCTGTCACAGGAACTGTGCAAGACATGCTTTTGTCCTCTTCATAAAGCAGTGATTTCACTCAGCAAACAGTATAGTATAGCAAGTTTCTAAGTAGTTAGCTTGGCAAGCAAATGTGTCAACTCAATAGTGTACAAGGGTCATGTCATGACAGCATCTGAGCAGGCCAGGAGAAATGTGATCATCGTTACTCATTAATATTCAAACCAACTGATTAAAATGATCAGTCAGTCAAAAGAAATCATTAATCAAAGGAGGAAATTATTAATCGGTGGTCTTGATTAGAGAGATGCAGTTAATATTATTATGCAAATTAATGTTGTATAATAAGAAAATTAACCTGTAATCTTAATTACAGAGATGTATTTAATTGTATTATGTAAATTAGGTTTAGTTTACTAATAGTACAAAAATTACATCACAAAAAAATCTAATGAGTTTTTTTTTACTAATAACAATTTTCATTAAAAAACTACACTGATCACAAGTTAAAATTTGAAAAAATAGTATACATTTTGATTATTTTATATAACAATGCTGTATTTAGTTTTTTGTATAATCAACAGTCAAATTTTCATATGTTAAATGCATTACTTAATATGAATAAAAACGATTTAAATATAAATTTTTATTGGTACTGAAAGCAATTTTTATTTTAAGCTTTTCAATTCCGTAAATTACTGCTTACATTTCTTCCTAATTTCAACTTCGTTTAGAACATTTATTCTGCGTGAAATAACAAAAAGATGACACGTTTTTTTAAGACAAGACAAACTTCTGAAGTGTTAAGAAAGCGATATTTGGTGTAATAACCCTGCTTTTCAATCACAACAAAATAAATCATTTGTTAATCAGACCAACCTTAAAATGCTGAACCCAGTTGCCAAAACTCATCAAGAATAATGATGTATATTGAGTCTAAATAAGTAACCAAACAACCTTTTAAAACCACAAACTGAAATTAAATCCTACAATATGCGAAAATATAAACAGTAATAATAACTATACCTGTGCTTCACTTGAACTAAAACTGAAAAACAGTAAAACAGCAAATGCAGTCAGTGTAAATATTACCCAACTCGCCGTCCTCTACTTGCTATGTATTGTTTACACCCCGCGCTTCTCGCACGTGCTGGAAGTGAACAATTTGAAATGTGCGTTGGTCCAGTAGAGGGAGCAAACGGTCGATTCGCGCAACGGTCACCAGCAGGTAGGACAACATTAACACTTTCAGTTTAGACATTTCGCCCTTTCTCTTTTATTAACTGCATTTATAAGAGTGCAAATATAATTAAAACACTGCTAGGCGTTGTAGCGTGTGCATTTTGCTCAGTTGGAGGCTTTAATTTCGGTTTAGCGGGGTGAAATAAATCACCTCAGTTAGCCTTACGCTAGAGCTCAAAGCGAGGCCTACTGAAGCCTCGGGCTTTCCTGAGCGCCCACTGCGGGAAACAGACACTCGGGAGAGCTCGCGTTTGTTGCGTTGCTACGATCAATACAGCTTCGTTAATGTCGCCCAGATGCGCAGTACACGTATTATGCAGGACGTGTTTAATCTTATTTAAGTAAAACGATTCTGACTTAACGTTATCTGTTAAGAAATCCACAGAAGTATTACGTAAACTCAGCACACTAACAGCTTGTGACACTTGTTTTGCAACCAGAAAAAAACAGTATTTGTCATTATTATCTGTTATTTGTCAATATTTACTGTTTGCCTTACTGAAATCCGACGTAATAAACAACTAGTATTTGTGTGTCACTAACCTAGTCATAGACATATTAACGTTAGAACTTTGTACATCAGTACGTTTGCAGTGTAACTTGTAAATTAACGTTAGCTTCGCAAGGTATAACGTTAACTTACTGTGCCATTATTAATGAAGAACATGACGATAAACAACACCAACAAGGGCGAGAAAGAGAAAACAATCGAGCTTGTTTATACATAATATTTACATGCAAATAAATGTTCACGTTACCTCTAGTTTTTTTTTTCATAATTTAACGTATGTGCAGCTAATTTAATGATATCCCATACATGTAGATGGTCGACATAAATCCCGAAGACAAACTTGAGTTCGCTTTGTTTATGTGTGTACTGTTTGCATTTCGGATAAACAAACACGGCGTGCAATTTAGTCAAAACACTCAACTGTCATCCGTATTGTCGTAGCACTTAGCAATGATGAATTCTGATATTTTTATTTATATATTTGATGCGCTTGTAATCCACGGAGGTAATCGCATTGGTCCAAACACCCCGTTATTTCACCTGTTACTGAGCCGATAAGCCTCATGTGCTTATCCAGAAATGGGCGGGTGCAGCGAGTCCGGGACATGCCCGGACATGAACGCAGACAGACGGACAGCTCAGCAAAGATAGTCTGCTACCGCTAGGCGTCGGAAATACAGTCACGCTTTGACTTGTCATGCCCAAACCCGCCCAGGACATGATGATCACCTCGGTGGATTCTAGCCCTGACATGCCTCTCTGCGCCTATTTAAACCATAGACCGGCTCTTCACCGGCTCCTACTCATCACCAACCCAGAGCTCAAGCACTTTATGTACAGATAGTAAAGTATATGTTTTAGCAAGAATACTCAATTTACCTCTTTTTGCACAGGTAATGTTGATGTGGAGGTCTGCATCTGTGTTGAATTGTTGACTGTTTGCATCTTCTAACTCTGTTTATTTATTTTTTTACAGATAACTACCAAAATGGCAACAGAGAGTTGTTTAAGCAGTTCTCAGATCAGCAAGGTTGACAACGAGAAACTGGTAATGTAGCCTTAAAATGAATTTGTATTTTAATATAGTTTTTGTGTCTTGATATGATTGAGTTATTTATGGTAACTTCCTTAGGTAAGACCAAAGGTGCAATTGAAAAGCCTGTTAGAGGATGCAGGTGCAGATAAAGATGTTTTCACCATGAAGGAGGTAAATAGACTTGATAGGAGATTTAAGTACATTTCATTTCATATTCACTATAATTTAGAGATTTTAAGCTGGAAAGATTGTCATTAGAGTTTTGGTTAAAAATTAAAATCAGTTGGTGTTATTGTATTAAAAGTGCATTAAAATAGTAAAACTATGTTATAGTTTTATTAAATATGATCAGAATTTAAAATAATAATTTTCTATTTTCATATATTTTAAAGTAGTTTTTATCTTTGATGGCGAAGATCACTTTTCAGCTGCTATTATGCCATGTCTTTAATGTCACGTGAGCCGCAGAAACTTTTGATATGCTAGTTACTTCAATAATCATTTCCTATTATTATTATTATTATCAATGTTAAAAACAGTTGTGCTGCTTATTATTTTTGTATTGTGTAAATATCTATAAACATTTCACAGGATTTATTTGAAATATAAATATTTAATATCATTATAAATGCTTTTATTTTTAGTATTAACTTTTACTTTCACATTTTAATATTTGAAAACAATCCAACAAAAATCTTGCCGTCCCTAAACTTTTGAACAGGAGTACAACTATCATGCTATATTACTTCTTATTAAAATTATGCCACTTGTGGTAATATTTGTATAAAATAAATTGTTTATGTATTTATCTATATGACAACTATTCAAGAGTTTGTTGGTCCATATGACTGTGGTCATATGGCAGTAGTGTTTGATGTTGTTGACTATAAATAACCCTTCTCCAATTTCACATGTTGCTGCATATTTATGTGTACAGTTAAACAAATGTAAATTTACGAGGGCATGAGGGTGGTTAATTATATTTGGCTATTGCTTTTGTTCAGTGTGGCACTTGATTTGTTTTGTTTCTCTTGCTGTGTTATAGGGTTAGGGATTTAAACAATCCCCTAAACTCAAATATTAAGCATCACCTTGTATTGCACATTTCAATTCAAATATTGTAACCTATTAGTTCTGTAAGTGAAGAGACTAGTAGGCACTAACAGTAAATCTGATGTTTTTAGGGAAGATAGAATGTGCTAAAATCCATTAAACTTGCATTGAAAGGACCTGAGTCTTGTCTAGGGGTTTTAGGGTGGGCTCTTCTTTTAGTTCATAACCATAAAACGTATTGACTCAGTGACACTAGTTTTTGCACATGCAGTTGAAAGATTTAAAAAAAAAAAAATATTTTAATCTTTGTTAATGTAGATAATTTGTTTGCCTTTTTATATTTAATGCTTATTTCATATATTATCATCTGTTGTTAGCCTCAATGTGATGCTATGAGTCATATTGTTTTATAACTGGAAATTGTGGTTGTGTATGACTAACGGGAACGTTTTACTCATTGCATATTTATAAGTTACATCTTTACCATCCTTTCTCTTGACACATTCTGAATGCATATAAAATTAAATCCCTGCCTCTTCATCTCTAAACAACCCTCTTCCTTTCTGTGTGTGTTTAGGTTATGTTTTATTTAGGGAAATATATCATGAGCAAGGAGTTATATGACAAGCAGCAGCAACACATAGTTCACTGTGGAGAGGATCCTCTCGGTGCTGTTCTTGGAGTGAAAAGTTTTTCAGTTAAAGAGCCACGGTGCGTACTGAATCTCTTAACATGTCCAAGGCAGTAACAGCTGTAGTACTAAAGACCCTTGAGAATATCAGGGTGGGGTTTTACAACAACAGGTGGCACTATCTGGATATTTGCCTTACTGGCCATTCTGCTATCACCTGTTGAGGATATAAAGTGGCTTCATAAAATATTGAGATACTTAAGTTAAAACATTTGTTTTAAAGTAGATATAAAAGTAATGATAAGAATATTTTCTATATACGTACATAAGTTTGTAAGCATTGAAAGTGAAATTTGCAATTTGAATGATTAATTTTATTTTTTTTTAGTGCCCTCTTTGCATTGATCAACAGAAACCTTGTCACAGTGAAAAATCCAGGTACCTTAAAAACTAGTTTCATTTGTGCTTATTTATTTATTTTTAACAATATAGTTTTATTTGTACAAGCTAACTGTATTGTATTAAAACTAGTCTGATTTCCTTTTACAGAATCACAGTCTACCTTCTCTGAACCCAGGAGTCAAAGTGAACCAGATCGAGGACCCGGGGTAAATCTTCTTTTATACTCCCATTTAGAACCACAGAGTATTGACCCATTCCACAGAGTTGCCCTGGCAGTGCTGTGTTTGTGCTTGAATGGCTTTATAGAGCCCCTGCTGTGTTTGAGATTGAAGCATGACTGAAACCCAGCTTTCTGTTCCAGGATACAGATTCAGACTCTCGCTCATCTACCTCACAACAGCAGCGCAGGAGGAGGAGAAGCAGTGATCCTGGTAAGGGCACACACCAGAGAGAAAGACACACAAACGCACCAGCTGTGGCCTGTTGAGTGTGTGTGAAAGCACACGCTTGATCAGCTGGGGTTTCAGATAGAGCTCTGTTTTTACATTCAGCTCTCCCTGTACAGATATTTAGAGAATGGTTTCATGTTTGTTTTCATTCCAGTGTTTACAGATTTCCTGGTTGAACAGGAAAGGGCTTGTCCATTTTTGTTGTGTTCGTGTGTATGCATTATGCGCTCAGGTAGAATTTAAGAAACGTTTTAATTAATTTATTAAGTTTACTTTCAGGTGTAAAACTTGACAAAGAAACCTTATGTTGCACTGGTATATTTTTGGCAAGAGCTAAAAAAAAAAAAAAAAAATTGTATGGTTCAAAATTGTGTCTGTATGTATGTATGTGTGTGTGTGTGTGTGTATATATATATATATATATATATATATATTTTTGTTTTATTATTATTATTATTATTTATTGCCAGAAATCATTAGAATATTTAGTAATAATTGGAAATTTTCCTACTGCAAAAATATGAACAAATTTTTTGATTAGATCATTGCTAAGAACATTATTTGGAAAACCTTAAAAGGTGATTATTATTATTTTTATCATTATTATTTTTAACCCTAATTTTCTTCAGAACCCTCCAGATTTTCAAGTAGTTGTATATTGGCCAAATATTGTTATATCCTATTAATCAATTAAAGCTTATTCATTCAGATTTCAAATGATGTATAAATCTTTTTCACAAAACTGAAAATTATGACTGGTTTTGTGATATCGTGCCACAATTAGTTAAGTAAAAGATGCAATCAATAAGATGTTATTTTTCATTCTTTTTTTACTCTAGGGCTAAGTGATACAGCAAACAAAATTATCATAATATCATGTTTCATATCATTCGATTTTGATAATTATTGATTATGTTTTAACAATCCATTTAGGAATATTAGGATTGTTTTATTTAACGACTTTAGTTTATTTTTAACCAACGTTAGTAAGGCAAATAATTTTATTAGTCAAAACCAAAAATATTTAAACCAAATATCTTATCTCTTTATAATAAAATAAACATAAATGTTAAAAAGACTCTTAATTGCTGAGTGTTATTGCTGAACAATCAAAGCAAAATTTAAGTTGTGAATAATAATGATACTGTAAACCTCAAAACTCCATAAACAAAACAAATTATGATAATCAAATCTGAGCTTTCAAAGGAAGGAACCAGCCATCATTATTTGGATACATACTGCAACATTACAAATTGTGAAGTTGGATGACTACATCACCGCCACTCTGACGACATTCCCCACATCCTTTTTTTATCTACAATCTCCTCACTGTTGCTATATGGCGACCATCAACTGTTTTCTCAGAAGATGACAAACGGACAAACCATTGCTGCAGTTTATGGAGAAAATGAAAAATCATTGCAGTGTTTGGGTGCGCTGTGTTTGCCTGAGGCAATTAGCCTACCATTATTACTGAAATGTGAAAATTCCAAATAAAGAGTGAAGCAGATTGGTTAATTCTACTTGAATCGCAGTGCGCACGTGACATTCTAAAAAATTCAGATCTTTTTCAACTAGGTGTGCCTGAATATGCGTCGCTCCTTACTTGCACTACAAGTCGCGCGTCTCCATTGCAAATGACAAACTTGCATCCTAAGCTTGTTGGCATTCCTTCCAAGGTGCACACTCAGCAGCCATAATTTAATAAAACTAAAGCCCTTCATACTGAACTTCTTTTTATTGTTATTGACAATGGTGTTTGGTCAATAAATACTGATACCGTTTTTTATCGGCCAGAACTATTCTTCTCAGTTTTTATGATTTCAAATCTGTTCGCTGTAGTTCTGTTTAACTTATAGTAACCATTCAGCCGTCAGGACTTTCCCTTATGCTGGATTATCATGTACAATTCCTTCAGTCCTGACAGAGGACTGTGTGTGGGTAAACATGTGGTACCATAATGACTGCTCTCTCTGTCACTGTGAACAACTCAAAAGGACACCGAGATCTGGAGGCTGTGCAAAAATGTGCTCAGATGACTGCGGCTCTTCAATGGCCCATTTTAAAACCGCAGCCATGTACACAAAGGCAGTTTGTTGAGCAAGCCGCACCAGATGCACCATTATCGCTTAGAGCATTGCTCCTGCTTGGCCCATAAGTGTCCAAAGTTGAGTGCATCTAATGGGAATATCAACTAATTTAAACTAGGTCAATATGCTGTATATACTTAAGGTTGTGTGTGTGTGTCTGTTTTTTATAGCATATACACAGAAAAAGAAACTGATCCGGAAGTCTAGGGAACTCAGTGTTCTTGTTTTCTAGCAGAACATCTATATGTGTAAACATGTAAAGGATGTTTGTATCTAAAAGCTTTGTGCTGAACCTGTTTTTGTGTGTGTTTCAATAGAGAGTTCTTCAGCTGAAGACGAGTCTAGAGAACGCAGGAAGAGGCATAAGTCGGACAGCTTTTCCCTGACATTTGATGACAGCCTGTCTTGGTGCGTGATTGGTGGCCTGCACCGGGAGAGGGGGAACAGCGAGTCTTCGGATGCAAACAGCAACTCGGTGAGGAGGACTTTTAAAATGTTTGTTCACATAGTTTTGGATTATTAACATAAGTCAGCAACTTTGTGCTGTTCTGTAGCTCTTTCTAACCAGTGTTTTGCTTGTTCTACAGGATGTAGGTATATCTCGCAGTGAGGGCAGTGAAGAGAGCGAAGACTCAGACTCTGATTCTGATAACTTTAGTGTGGAGTTTGAGGTGGAGTCCATCAACTCTGATGCTTACAGTGAGAATGATGTGGATTCTGTCCCAGGAGAGAACGAGGTTTCAGCTCTTAAGTCCTGCTTTATTAAGAGAAAGTGATTAACTGATGACTACTAGTCTAACCTGTTTAACAATTCTCAACTCAGCTTTTTTTTTTTTGCTTATTCAGATATATGAAGTCACAATCTTCGCAGAAGACGAAGACTCTTTTGATGAAGATACTGAGATAACCGAGGCAGTATGTAGCATTTTACTTCTAAATCCTGACATTTTCCTCGAACTGGGCTTGATTTTGTATATGAGGATTATATTAATTCATGAAAAGTGTGTTAGTTTAAAGGTTAGGAATGAAAGCCTTTGTGAGTCGGCCAAAAAAAGCAGCTGTTTGAGTTTTGCAGCAAGTTATTACATTTTGTTGAAAGATTGTGATGACAGACTTTCTACTGAACTTTGTGCACTGATGGACTGTGCTTATTGTGACTAGGAATGTGTATAGAGTGCATTAGTGCCCATCCACATTTTTAGCATTTTGGCATTGTTTTTGTTTATTTGCAGGGATTCACAGGGACCAAACTAACTATTAATGAGGTAAATCACAATGTTATAAAACTGAAATGTAGGCTTCTGACAGTGTCTAATTTTCTTGTTGAGGTTAATTGCTAAAGTTTTTATCACAGTGTTATCTCAGGGTATTGACCCAAGCTTATAAATATATTACTTTAACAGGTATAATAAACATAATATACTTAGTTTATTGCTTTACTGTATACGCTTGTAAAGAGTAAATACAGTAATAAAGTCCCATTAGTATACTTCAGTAAATGCATTAAATTCAACAGTGAGAAAAAAAAGCCAGATTATAGTTGTTCATAAAAAAATACGACTGAATCTTATAAGCTATTAAGTCCATTTATAACTAACTTTAATAAAAAGTTTACGACTTGATTTTAATGTGCTTTTAGGCATTAACTAAGAAATTACCATCAGCTAAGATAAAACATGCTCTTGTAGTTGTCACTACATTGACTTTAGGTAAATTAACTTATATTAACAAATCGAGACTTACTGTAGAGCAGTGTTTCTCAACCATGTTCCAGTAGGACCACCAGCACTGCACATTTTCTTGTCTCCAAAACCAAACACGCCTGATTCAGATCATCAGCTCATTAGCAGAGACTGAAAGACCTGTAACATGTAGTGTTAGTGGTCCTTCAGGAATGTGGTTGAGAAACACTGCTGTAGAGTGACCGAACAAAATGCCTATAAATAGTCTGAGAATTTTTAATGTTGTAGGCCAGACTATTGTGTGAAAATTTAGAAAATAAATGACCATTTAAATCTTGTGCTGTGATGAACACCAATACAACAATCTGAATATTAGCAAGTTAGCTAAGCAAGACACAAGTAATGATCTGTTGTAACAATATGTTTCCTCAGGACTACTGGAAGTGTCCCAAATGTGACCAGTTCAACCCTCCTCTTCCTCGACACTGCAAAAGCTGCTGGACCGTCCGAGCTGATTGGCTTCCAGAAACACACTCCAACTGGGAAAACCTTTCAAGAAATACTCGAACCAACCCCGAAGACACCAGCGTCACCACAACTCCCAACACAACCTTCGAAAAGAAACTCTCCAAACCCTCAAGCCCTCTCCCAGAAACAGATGATGGAGTGGACGTACCCGACGGCAAGTGCTTTCCATCTCCTGCCACTACCAAAGATGAGCTTCCCTCCTCCGCTACCATTACTGACTCTCAAACCACATCATCACAGCCCTCCACTTCCTCCGGCGGGGGCAGCAGTCAGGAAGAGACCCCCGAGCTGGAGCGCTTCAACAGTCTGGAGGCCTGCCTTCCCGCTACGTGCCTAGAACCCTGCGTCATCTGTCAGAGTCGCCCCAAGAACGGCTGCATTGTTCACGGAAGGACTGGGCACCTTATGGCGTGCTACACATGTGCCAAAAAATTAAAAAACCGGAACAAGTTGTGTCCGGTGTGCCGAGAGCCCATTCAGTCAGTGGTGTTGACTTACATGAGCTGAGGCACTGAAATATACCTCCTCCTGTCCTTAAATGAAGTTTGGGAGTTGCCTTGTGGTTGTATTAGATATAAACGTTTGTTTTCAAATTCAATATTTGTAATGATTCAATATTTTTTTCTTATTGAATACCTAATTTTATTTATGACTCATGGATTTCACTCACACGTTTTGTAATAAATTCACACACTTATATTTTAAGGATTGTGTTAGAATTGAAACAAAAACTTGTGAGGTGCTGTATTGATTAAATAGTCTAATAGAAATGTTTGTAATTTAATTTATGTACATGCAGATGTAGAGGTTTTTGAGTTGTTTGCTGCACTGAAAAAGAGTTCCCCGAGCTCATTTAAAAATGTTCTTATCATATTTCTGCTGCGAAGACTGTCTTATTTTCTTTCAGAAAGACATAATAAATGATTATTTTGAGGTTCTTCTGCTTTTACAGATGAGATCAAATCTGCTTTTTCTGTCCTCTGCTTTGAATGATTTTCTGATGGCTTGTATGTAGGTTAGATTACTGGTGGCAGTAGGGGGAGTTGTTTTTGTTGGGGGAAATACACAGCGGTCACCCAGAGAGAGCTTTAGTTACTAGGGACCCTCTTTTCACTCTAATATCAAGAAACATGTTCTGACTTGTTTCTCTCTAATGGCAACCTAGTACAAACACTGGCCTTTTCAAATATCTTTTTCACAAAAGGTGTTTTTTTTTTTTTTCACAGATGAAATTGTTAGCATCTATGACAGTTGTATTATGCAATTATCATTACACCACCTATTTAACTGCTAATTTAATTTTAGCAAACAAGAGAAAAAAAACACTTATTGGAAGATTTGATTTTTATTTATTTTTTAAAATAAACTTTTTTTTGTAATAAACTGGTTTTGTAGTATTTGCAGCAGCATGGCAAATGAATCTTAGTCTATAAGTTCACCTTTTTATTTGTCAGATGGTGCACAAATGAAGTGCGATTAGAACATGATTGCTGGAATCAGATGTTTTCATACACGAGGTATGTATGCACTTTCCTGCACTTACATATGTATTTGCACAGTATGACAGACTGCAAACGAATGAACACTTTATAAACAAATTCACAGATGTTTTAAAAGGATTAAATGCATTCAAGCTTCAGAAAATGGCATCAATAGCACAAGTCTGATCTCTTAAATGCTATTTATACGACTATATACCTCTACTTTCATATTGCAATGGCATGTCCTATAGCCATGTATTTTTATGTATTTCTTTTTTGTCTCAAATGTTATCCAAGTATTTGAAGAATATCAAATAAATGCATTTGTTGACTATGCTGTTTTCTAAAAATGTCTTCTTTTTTAACACCACCTGGATCATGTGACTGAAGAAGTTTTATAAAATATCAACTACATGTGTAGTGGTCAGAGGTTCTGTTTTTTAATTATAATTTTTGAGATATTTTTTCATTTTATTTCACATTCCATACACACACACACACACACACACACGCAGAATGTTTCAAGAACCTTGATATTTCTAATGAAAGTACTTTGGTTTGCATATATAAAAAAAAAAAGCCTCACTGTTCTAACTTTTAACACACTTAAAAATGTTACACTGCTAGAGAATATCAATTCATATTCTGAGACGACAAAGGATAATTCTTGACCATGAAATATAAATGATTTTTGAAACTATCTATTGGTCATAGTTTTGCAATTTTATGCTGAAAAGGTGCAGATTCTTAAGTCAAACAAATTCCTATTATATTAATCATTAATACTTTATTCATCTTCACAGCAGCATTTATTATTTGACTGTTACCATTTGCAAACTCATTATATTCTATCATGTTAGCAAGCCTTTCATCTGCCATCAGTTCAGATGAAATCAATAGCAGACAGAAGATGTGCATAAATGAATTTCAATCGAAGTGCTTTTAAACGAATAAATCCCCACATCAGCAAAGGAGCACCTGTAATTTGATAAATGCAACAAAAACGATCAGTTTTTAAATAGTATAAAATCTTGTCATCCTCAAGTTCAGACAACTAATTTTGTACCACACTGACAAAGTTGGTTTGATATTAGACGTTTGATAAATTTACAAATTTAGGGGCCATCTCTAAAGTTACAGACAAGTAACGACATTGGTATCTGCTTGTTAAGTCTGACATCATTCGAAAGGAGTCTCCAGGTCCAATGGCTATATCAAACTAAGGGGAGACTCAACAAATGGCAATAATAAACGTTTATAAAGCGATGTAATACTTTCAATAATCACAATCGGAATATGTATATATTTGTTAAAATATTGGTGTCTGTGGTGCAGCAAGTTCTAAGACTACACCATGATTTTATATAAAATTCACTTTAATATGACTTAAAGGTAGCCATAAACAAATATTTTCTAAATTCAAATGAGTATCAGCTTGGACCGGGTTTATCTGACATTTTTATCCTACTCATTAGATTATGCTATCAACACTGTATTTGAATGGTTCTGAGGTTGGGGTTATAGGGATTTGGTAGGTTAGGGCGATATTACAGCTTCATATCACACTACTCCACATTAAAATTTACACTGGTAGCAAAATCTGATCAATCTGATCAAAATGTGCAACCTACTTTTTGAATAGACAATCTGACAAGGTAGGATAAACCGACAGAACACCGGAAACAGTATTCTATCACCACTTAAAAGGATAGACATCTCTCACTTAGCATATGTGGAGAATGATTTAGTCACAGAACCTGTAAAGATGTTAATGTAGGGCTCAAATATATTACACAAATTTGACATTAGTACAAAAATACTGTAAAAAATAATTAAAAAAAAATCTCAAATGCTGAAAAATAAATAGAACAATAAAAAAGTTAAAAATTGTGCATTATATTTGAGATCTAAAGTTGTGTATACATGAGCACTGCACAGTTTTGTGACGAAATCCATTCTCCTCAAATCCTAAACTTGTGCTAAGTTAGAAATGTGTATACTAATGTCATGTATAACCTTACAGACGGTCCCAATTTAGCGAATATCCAACTTTATGCCAGAAATGACCACCTCCCATATATAAAAGTTGAGTTTTTATGACATTTTGGGGTTACTTGAAAGGGGAATGCTCTGTGAAATAATAAAAACACGGCCATATGCCACTCTTATTTTTCGCCCTGCTTGAACGTCCATATAGCCTAGCACAACAAAGCAATCTCTAGAAGCGATGCAAATGAATTTTTCATGTGTTCTCATAACTTGTGACACGGATGCTCACAGTCTGCCAGTTTCCTTCTTGTACGTTGTAAATGTGTCATTCAAAGCACAGTACTCTTAAAATATTAACCTCATCTCAGGGGTTATGAAAATGCAAAGTGAAAAACCAACAACTGTCACGCACTTTGATTGTTGCAGCTCATCATCATCCGTTAAATACTCTTCATTACAGCAATAATTGCAATGATGTTGTGCTTTTTATATAATAGAGTTATAATGCTGCACATGAATAATAAGCTAACCGTTTTAATTGAACTGCAGCGTTTGACTTGTGCATTTATTCTTGAATATTGAGTTTCTCCGCTAGAGGGCAATGTGGCTCTGCTCTTTAATACTGCATAACTATTCTCTCATCAGTAGGCTAGTCTAGTCTTGCACAATGATATGTGCCTCCTATTTGGATAATTTGCATTAGTATAATCAATAAGTAATTAAAGTAGCAAACCAAATTTTCGCTAAGCAATTGAAGAAGTGTGTTTTTTTTATTATGTATGAATGAACTGGTAGCATTGTTTATTTCCTCACGCTGATATAAATTAGAGGTAAGTAGAGCCCTGTTCCACAGCCAGAATTATTGTTTCAGCAAAAGTGAAAAAAATAATATAATGCAATGTTCATGTACTGTGTAAGGAAAAGAAAATAAAAAAAAATCGGTCACTATGGAAATTGTTTATATCTACCACATATGCAACTTTTTTTTTTTTTTTACCTTAAAGATGCCTTGAAGGTGTATATTAGTATCTACAGACCACACCACACAAAAGGTGCAGTGATGCCATATAAGAAATATCTTTGATTCCCCTAAGAATTGTTTTGTGAACTAAACAGTTTATTAAAGAACCATTGTAAATGTGTGTGTTTATAAACAACAAAAACTTTACTTCATTTGTTTAATGAAAAATATATTTGGATGTTAAAGGATCTTCTGTTGATGCCAATAAATAATAATAATAAAAAATATATTTTTAAGTGTGCAAATGCTGCACTGAGCACTGTTTTCATTTTCCTCACTGCCTTGCTATAATCTCAGATAATAAAATCATTGCTGAAATTTTCAAACAATAAGTCAATAAGCTGTTAATGTCTGGTGTCCTAAAGGAAACTTGTATTTAGGTTATTTCCAACAGCATCTATCTGCTGCATTGATTACTTACAAACAGTAGTCTGTTACTAATTACTAGTTACATAACTAAAATTGTAGTCCATTATTTAATTTAAGTAGTTTATTTAGATTACTTTTGGATTACTTTCGGACCTGCTCATATTTTGTTTTTAATTTTGCCGCCAAAATCAAAAGCATGGATCACAAATGACTACACATGATATTTACATGCATTGGGAAAAAAAGCTTTCATTCATCTAATTAAAAAGAAAGATTAGGGTAATGGTTCACATCTAAATTTTATCACTTGACCCAATGAAAAACAAACCATTTGCCAAAAAAATATTTTCTATCTCCATGAGAACAATTTTATATAACCTAAGCATATTTGTCTTGTTGAAGAAAGTCAATTAATTTTTTTTTTCCAAACTTTAAAAAGCTTTAATCAAAACAACAATTGCTATAAAATGTTCATTCATACAATAAAAGAAAAAAAATTGGGTAATGGTTTCACATCTAAATTTGTTCACTTGAGCCAATAGAAAAAAATCATTTGTAAATAACTTAACTGTTTAATTCATCTAAATGGCTAGCAGGGTGCTAGCATTTATGGTGCATAACTTTACGCATATCAGCTTGTTAGCGAAGAGAACACTCATGTCCCATACACCACACAACCCTGAGTGTCTCTGTTGTCAGCAATCTGGCAGAATAAGTAGATGAGACAATACTATCATTCATTCATTTTCGGCTTAGTCCCTTTATTAATCAGGGGTCGCCACAGTTAAATGAACCGCCAACTTATCCACCATATGTTTTACGCAGCAGATGCCATTCCAGCAGCGACCCATCATTGGGAAACACCCATACGCAGACAATTTCATTCATTCATGCATTTTATTTTCGGCTTAGTCCCTTTATTAATCTGGGATCGCCACAGCGGAATGAACCAGCAACTTATCCTGCACATCTTTTACGCAGTGGATGCCCTTCCAGCTGCAAACCATCACTGGGAACACAGACAATTTAGCTTACCCAGTTCACCTGTACCGCATGTCTTTGGACTGTGGGGTGGGGGAAACTGGAGCACC